TTTTTTTTTTTTTTTTTTTTTTTTTTGTTTATCTTTTTTTTTTTTTTTATTTTTTCTTTTTGTTATTTTTTTTTCTTTTTTTTTTTTTAAATTTACCAAATTTTTTTTGTTTCACCATTTCAACGAAAACTTTTCCTCGAACTGATCTACTCGCTTGCCTACCAGTACGAGACATAATGACATCAAAGTTATACTGAAGTAGTTTTAAATTTGGGACCTTTATTTTAAAAGAACAATTATATTTGAGATAAAAGCGTAAATACTTATAAAGTTATATGGTTAAAGAATTTAAGAAACGTATTTTGAAAAATACCTCTCTAACTTTAACATAATTAGCACGAATCTCAAGTTTTGAACCAAGAGTTCCTATACCCTGTCTTTGGGGAATTTGGAAAGAATTTTGTTGTATAGAAAGTTTTTGCATTCCTTTTTCCATTTTGCTTGTAATAGCGATCGATATAGAAAATTAATTGTGTTTTTACGAGAGAGAAAGGAAATAAGGCTTAGTTTCAAAGCACATTATATATTAATATCTTAACCAAAGCGTTGAACAATGACATATTAACAAATATGGAAAACAAAAAGATTTTTAATTTTTATGCAGCAGATTACCAAATTACCAAATATAGGATTTTTTTAAGTTGCAAATGGCGTAAAATACATAAATATTGTAATAGCAAACCACGTATTTAACTAGATCGGTGTATCCGGAAATTGAAAATAAATTATATAGAATTATAATGTTGATCTTTGTTACAATAAAAAGAAAAAAATTAATTGTTCATTTATTTTGAATACTTTCTAAAAAGATTTTCATTTTTCTGAATGAAACAAAACCTGGAGAAGTTAGTTTTTTTTTAACGCCATGTATTAAAAACGATAATAAAATATTTAATATCCCATATTATTCATATTATTCATATTAATAACTAACACTTTTTTTAATCTGATTTTTCAATACTTTTACATTTTCTCACCATTTATTCTAAATAAAATTAATTTTCAAAATCAATTGTATCAGATATAAAATGCAGCCATTTGAATTATATTATCACAAAGAACTCAGAAATAGTAAATTTATTTTAATCTGACTTTTGGTTAAAATTTTCTTGATAATTTTATTTTAAAATGTGACAAATTGTTACAAAAACGCAATTTATGATATAAATTATAATTTTGAATATTTTACAAAAATAATATTTATATTTTTCATTTCTTATTATTGCTCTTAAAATAATATTCTAAAGAGTTATTTATATTAAAAATTTTAATTTTAATTATGAAATACTGATCTATACTTAAAATCTTATAACAATATTACTTTTGCTAAGGACTATTACTAAATATTATATAAAAAATAGTATAAGAAATTCGGATAAAGTATTAAATATAGTTTAACATCTAAATTTATAATAAATTCTAAAAATTTGAAATTATATTTTGCAATACATCTAATCAAATTTCTAATATATAATTAATTACGACTTTTTTAATTAAAAAAAAAACTGCTAAAAAATCATATTTTATTTTAATATACCAGATATAATTTTTAGATTAAAAAAATATTCAACTTTAACATTTTTTTTTACCAATCTCTATTATTTTATTAATTTATTAATCACAATCATATTTAATTATTTTTAAATATTTTAAAATATATTATTAAAAAATTAAATACTTTTATAATAAATTTTATGATGTTTTTTAAGTAAAAATTAACTAGTGATTTTTTAAAGATAAATAAATAATAAATTATCATAAAAAAAATTAAAATTTTAAACTCATATATTCTACTATCTATTCATCTTAGAAATATAAAAATACTACCATTTAATAGA